GAAACCCAACTGACTCTAAGAGAGTTTTGGAGAGATCACTTTACCATCCTCAATTGTGTAAACATTATAGGTAAGGCTTGGGAGGAAGTGACTAAGAGGACCTTGAACTCTGCTTGGAAAAAACTGTGGCCAGAATGTGTAGACAAAAGGGATTTTGAAGGGTTTGAGGCTAACCCTGAGAATCCTATGCCAGTTGAGGAATCCATTGTGGCATTGGGGAAGTCCTTGGGGTTGGAGGTTAGTGGGGATGATGTGGAAGAGTTGGTGGAAGAGGACAATGAAGAACTAACCACTGATGAGCTGCTAGATCATCTTCAACAGCAAGAGGCTATACCTGAGGAAACTACTTCGGAGGAGGGGATAGAGAAATTGAAGAAGTTGCCTACTTCTAAGATTAAGGAAATCTGTGCAATGTGGCTTAAAGTGCAAACCTTTATGGATGAAAATCACCCTGAAAAAGCTACTGCAAGCCGTGTTGGCAACCTGTACACTGACAATGTTGTGAAACACTTTAGAAATGTCATAAAGGAACGGGAGGTACAGGCCTCTATGGACAGATATGTTGTGCGACAGAAGTCCAGTGACTCTGAAGCTGGTCCTAGTGGCATTAAAAGAAGAAGGGAAGTAACCCCGGAAAAAGACTTGCTACCTCAAGTCCTAATGGAAGGGGATTCCCCTTCTAAACACTAAGAAGATCAACACTCTCCCCTCCTCCCATCCCATCAATCATCACCAGATCTTCAATAAAGGTAAGTGTCATGTAACTGTGCATGTCTTCTTCAGTTTGTGTGTATTAAAATTAATATTTCATGTGGTAATTTTTTTTTTTTTTTCAATACTTTGGGGTGTCAGGAACGGATTAATTTGATTTCCATTATTTCTTATGGGGAAAATTAACTCGACTAACGATAATTTCGATTAACGATGAGCTCTCAGGAACGGATTAATATCGTTGGTCGAGGGTCCACTGTATTTTTTGTTAATATTTCCCATAAGAAATAATGTAAATCCAATTAATCCATTCCAGACACCCAAAAATATTAACAAAAAATACATTTTATAGAGAATAAACTATAGTTTTACATACAAACTAGGGCATACAAAAACTGAGGCTCCACTGTATATTACTGCCATCAACAACTCAAAAATTCCTAAATATTTTAAGAGTTGCTTGTTCTATCTAGGTTGGAATATTGCTGCAAACTAACAGCACCTTTCAAGGCAGGTGAAATTGCTGACCTAGAAAATGTACAGAGAACCTTCACGGCGCGCATAACAGAGATAAAACACCTCAATTACTGGGAGCGCTTGAGGTTCCTGAACCTGTATTCCCTGGAATGCAGGCAGGAGAGATACATGATTATTTACACCTGGAAAATCTTAGAGGGACTAGCACTGAACTTGCACACGAAAATCACTCACTATGAAAGCAAACTCGACAGGTGATGCAACATCCCCCCAATGAAAAGCAGGGGTGTCATTAGCACATTAAGAGACAACACAATAAGTGTCAGGGGCCCAAGACTGTTCAACTGCCTCCTAGCATACATAAGGGGGATTACCAATAGACCCCTGGCTGTCTTCAAGCAGGCACTGAACAAGCACCTAAAGTTGGTACCTGACCAGCCGGGCTGTGACTAGTAAGTTGGATTGCATGCAGCCAGCAGTAACAGCCTGGTTGATCAGGCCCTGATCCACCATGAGGCCTGGTCACAGACCACGCCGTGGGGGTGTTGACCCCCGGAACTCTCTCCAGGTAAACTCCAGAGTATTTATTTCAAAATTAAAATGGTTCCAACCTCATTACGTAAAATGTGCAAAAATATAATACTGTAACCTGCTAATCAATTCACCTCAATTATAAATTCAATTACTATTAAACCACTAATTTCCTCTGTTGAAATATAAATAACGATGTTCAATTTGAACCAACTACAGTGGTACATCAAGTTTTGAACAGCTCCCAGCTCAAACAATTATGTAAGTGTATTTTTCTAAGTGATTTTGTAAGTGTATTTTTGAGGGTTTGAAACAGACTAATCTAATTTACATTATTCCTTATGGGAACAAATTCGTTCGGTATCGGCACTCAAACAGCCTTCTGGAACGAATTAAGTTCGTAACTCGAGGTACCACTGTATGTTATACAGCCTCTCCTCATTTAACGACAAAGTTCTGTTCCTAAGACCTCATTGGTAAACAAATTCATCGGTAAGTAAGGAGCATACTATAATGGTAGTGGGTTTGTGTTAACCATCCTTGATACTGTTTTAATGTCACCTTTGCACCATTTATAGCATTTCTGGTATATTTTTAAATGTTTATACAGTAGTGTACTACACAGTGTAATATGCAGAATAGAGGAAATCAGCTCTAACATATTTTATTTAGGCATGAATACTGGTCAAAAAGCCCGTCCATCAGAAAACATCTTATCTCCCTGATACACCCTGTCAACTAATTACACGAATACCACCTGGTGGTTAACACTTACACTCACTCACCCATTTGACCATAAACAGAAATATCAATCTCAATCTCAAAATAATGAATCTTAACTAGTCATAAGTTGGCCTGTGATACTCCAATACTGAAACTATGTATAGTGCCAAAACAAAAGCATTCACATTGCTAAACTCACAAACTAGTATTTAGTCACTTAGCCATAATACCAACTTACCTCATAATTTTGTAATATTTTAAACTTAAGATTTAATCTAAGTCTGCCCGAAATGCCTAGCCATGCTAGGTGTTCTAGTGGTACACTCTGTAATTATTATTTTACTACATGTAAACCACACAATAACCAAATTCTGTAAACTAAGCATTGTAATCCTTATAGAGAATAAACCTTGAATTTGAATTTGAATAAGTCCGGGTCGTCGGTAAATGAGTACGTCGCTAAGTAACAAGAGGCTGTACATGCCTAGTATTAAGTAGTCTGTTAAGCATTAGGTTTAGTCTGCCCAAAATGCCCCGGCATGATAGTGGCTTTCTCTGTACAGTGGAACCCCGAGTTTCAGCCGTAATCCGTTCCAGGAGCTAAGCCTAAACTTGAAACGGCTGAAAGTCGAAGCAATATTTCCCATAAGAAATAATGTAAATACAATTATTGTAATCCATTCCAAACCCACAAAATTATTTACAAAAAAATACATTTTTTAAAGAATAACTATAGTTTAACATACATATAGTACAGTGGACCCCCGCATAACGATCACCTCCCAATGCGACCAATTATGTAAGTGTATTTATGTAAGTGCGTTTGTACGTGTATGTTTGGGGGTCTGAAATGGACTAATCTACTTCACAATATTCCTTATGGAAACAAATTCAGTCAGTACTGGCACCTCAACATACTTCTGGAATGAAAAAATATCGTTAAGCGGGGGTCCACAGTACTTATAATATACATATAGTAGTATTAAATGAGTAATACAATACATAAATAAACATTTAAAATCACATTTACCTACCTTTACTGAAGACTCTTGTTGGCATCTGGAAGATAGGGAGGAGGAGAGAGGGAGGACTTATTATTGCCTCAATCACTGCCTCCGCCACTGCCTCAACCCCTGCCTCACTGCCACTATGAAGTTTCTTTGGGCCCATGGTGGCTTATTTCACAGTCACAATTATTAAACAAGCACTAAACATAATGAGTTTATTGTGAAATGTTTGGATGAGTGTGCAGGGTAATGTTCACTCAAGGATAAACAAAGCTAGACTGGTTCATGATGCCTGCACGAGGAGGCACGCAGGTGCAGACAGGTCTGGTATGCCGGCCAAAACATGGGGCAATGGCTGAAACTCGGGACAAAATTTAGCTGAAAAAAGCGGTCGAAACTTGAAGCGGCTGATACTCAGGGCAGCCAAAACTCAGGGTTCCACTGTACTTAGGAAATCAAAATTGTAATTACGAATTGGAAACTATGAAAAGAAATAAAATCCTTAATCCTTGCATACAGAAAAACAAGAACATCTTAACATGCACACATAAAAACAAGAACAGGAAGATCTTGACTTGCAAACATAAAAACAAGAAAAGGAAGATATCAACTTTCATGTAAAAAACAAAGTACAGGAGCATCACAACTTGTAAACATAAAATTAAGAACAGGAGGATGTTAATTTACTAACATAAACAAGTACAGGAGGATCTTACTTTACTAACATAAACCAAGTACAGGAGGATCTTAATACTAACATAAACCAAGTACAGAAGGATCATAATTTACTTACATAAACCAGGTACAGGAGGATCTAAACTTAGAAAAAGAGTTGTGTGTCTGGTTTATTTGTAACTTTCAAACAAGTTGTTTTTATAGACAACAATACTACAAATCAGGTTTATTTAACATACTTTTGTACAGCAACTTAGCAACTGTAAAATATTAATTGATTTATAATAACCCTGTTTGTGAGGCGGGTAACTTGGAATGTCTGTGAGGAGGGTAACTTGGAATGTCTGTGAGGAGGGTAACTTGGAATGTCTGTGAGGAGGGTAACTTGGAATGTCTGTGAGGAGGGTAACTTGGAATGTCTGTGAGGAGGGTAACTTGGAATGTCTGTGAGGAGGGTAACTTGGAATGTCTGTGAGGAGGGTAATGTGGAATGTCTGTGAGGAGGGTAACTTGGGATGTTTGTGAGGCGGGTAACTTGGAATGTCTGTGAGGAGGGTAACTTGGAATGTCTGTGAGGAGGGCAACTTGGAATGTCTGTGAGGAGGGTAATTTGTTATGTCTGTGAGGAGGGTAATGTGGAATGTCTGTGAGGAGGGTAACTTAGAATGTCTGTGAGGAGGGTAACTTGGAATGCCTGTGAGGAAGGTAATTTGGAATGCCTGTGAGGAGGGTAACTTGGAATGTCTGTGAGAAGGGTAATGTGGAATGTCTGTGAGGAGGGTAACTTGGAATGTCTGTGAGGAGGGTAACTTGGAATGTCTGTGAGGAGGGTAACTTGAGATGTATCCTGTGGAGACAGCAAGTATGTGCACTTACAGCATCACCCTGAGTATAGGTGACTGCTCCCTGCTTGACAAAGAGTTGCTTGTCGAAGAGGCCTCCACAGGTGTTCAGGGTCACCTGCAAGTTAACACATATTTACACATACACCAGGAATACAGAATATAGGGTTTATAAATTATTCTTTTTCTATTCTAGCTCTTAATCTTGGATTATAAAAAATGACCAATTTGTCAAACGAAGTGTAAATTCATTGTTGTATAATTATACAAAAATAACTCTGAATATCATATTAGTATATTTTATTTTTTTGTAAAATACAAGTTAGAATTAGGCTGACCTAATATACATTGGGTAGGATTAGTGTAAATAAATTTACTAATATGTTATTTTGCAGATAACCATATATGATCAAAACAATAAAATTCAATTACATTTCAAGTACTGTACATGAGAATAAATCAAAGATACAGACAGTAATATTTTACTTGTCATATCACAGATCTATGCCACTTGAAAAATATTAACTAAAATTATGTATGATGCTTTTACAATGTGATAACACACTGAGTGAATTACATGCTTTCTTTCAGATTGTAAGTTATTTGGATGATACTGATCAAATGATTTACAAGTGAATGAAGAGGTTAAGGAAAACTGATAGCAAATAAGGTACACAGTTACAAATTCTAAATTTCCAAAGATATTGCTGATACTACTATTGGTATGGATGAAGTGCAGTTTTTTTAACACTTTCACTGTCAGTCCTGTAATATTACTGCTTGCAAGCTAGTGTCAGTCCTGTAATATTACTGCTTGCAAGCTAGTGTCAGTCCTGTAATATTACACCCAAATTCTAGTGACTTCAAATCTTGCGGGAGAAAGCTGGTAGGCCTACATACGAGAAAATGGGTCTGAGTGGTCAATGTGTGCAGTATAAAAAAAAAATCCTGCAGCACACGGTGCACAATAATAAAAAAAAAACTCCGTGTTTTTGGTTTAAAACACTGACTTTGCAGTGTATTTTCATACAGTATTTATGGTTGTATTCTCTTTTTCTTTTTCTCATTTGATAAAATGGAAGATATATTACAGAAATATAGATGATTTTGAATGGTTTACAGACTAAAAGTACCTTGAAATTGAGTGCGAAGTAGCGGAAATGATCGATTTTTGCCGATGTTCAAGAGTAAACAAATCACGTCACGTGTCCAATACATGTCAACTTGTGGGCCTAATATGCTTTCACAAATGCGCTGATATTATTTATACCACTTTTACATAATGCATTAGACTGCATAACGGTAAATCTATTGTTTTTTGTGAATAAAAATTCAAAATGGAAAGCAAGAGTAATATAAGGGGGGCCTGGAGATGTGACTAATGAACAGAGAAATCATTATTTTAGTCCTAGAAATATTTGTATTGTTAATTCTGGACTCTATTTTGCAAGTGGCCTTACTTGAATTGTATATGAAATTCGCCAAGTTACCAATTTCTGATCACTTTATTGGGTAGTTGAAATCAGTAAATGGGCAGTTTCCTGTACTCAGTCGATAGAAGAAATAGAGTTCTAGTGAAACAGCTATAAGTTTGGTCGACTGGAACAATGGAATTGGCTGAAAATAAGGCTCAAAGTGGGCTATCATAACTTTGGGGCCCAATCCCTGGACCCATTATGTACCTCTGTAATCTTTTTGACTAATGCCCACAGGATGGGTATGGGGTGCATAATAAACATTTTTTTTTTTTTCAACAAGTTGGCCGTCTCCCACCGAGGCAGGGTGACCCAAAAAAGAAAGAAAATCCCCAAAAAGAAAATGCTTTCATCATCATTCAACACTTTCACCACACTCACACATAATCACTGTTTTTGCAGAGGTGCTCAGAATACAACAGTTTAGAAGCATATACGTATAAAGATACACAACATATCCCTCCAAACTGCCAATAACCAAAAACCCCCTCCTTTAAAGTCAGGCATTGTATTCCCCTTTTCCCAGGATCAAGTCGACTATATGAAAAAAACCCGGGTTTTCCCTAAAATCCCTTTTCACTAAATGTTACCCGCCACACTCCAACAGATCGTCGGCCCCAAAGTACCATTCTCTCCTTCATCCTTCGAACACGCTCACGCACCTTTGCGAAAAGTCCAACCCCCTTTGCCCCAAAACCCCTTTACCCCCTCTCCCCAAACCTTTTTTCGGGGACGACCCCCTACCTCCCCTTTCCCTTCCCCCTATAAGTTTTTTTAAAATGCTTTCCATGTCATTCTACTTTGATCCATTCTCTCAAAATGAAAAACCCACCTCAACAACCCTTTCTGCCCTCTGCTAATACTTTTATTAACTCCACACTTTTCCTAATTCCACACCCCAAATTTTCTGCATAATATTTCACCACCCCACTCCCCTTAGCAGACATCTCCACTGCCCTCCAACCACTCCTCGCGCTGCATTTACCACCAAAGCTTCACACCCAATAAAAGTTTTGGACTACTATACTTTCATATATTCCCTTTTTTTGCCTCCAAGAAAACTTTTTGGACTCCATATATACCTCAATGCACCACCCACCTTTTTTCCCTCATCAATTCTATGATTAACCTATCCTTCATAAATCCATCCGCCGAACTCAACCCCCCAATATCTGAAAACATTTACTTTTCCATACTCCCCCCCCCCAATTTTTGAAACCAATTTTTTTTTTCAAATCTTTTGAACCCTCATCCCCTTTATTTTTTTCTATTTCACTTTAACTTCTCCCTTTTTAACACCATTCCCAAACTCACCACAAACCCTTAGCAATTTTTCTTTAGAATCTCCCATAAGCACAGTATCATCGCAAAAAGAACTGTGTTTTTTTTTCCCATTCTGATTTGACCCCCAAATTTAATCCCACCCCCTCCCAGCCCCCAGCATTTACTTCTTTTACAACCCCAAATAAATAATTAAAAAACCTGGGCTTACACATCCCTTTTTTTAAGACCTACTTTTACCGGGGATAGTCCCCCTCTCTCTACACGCCCAAACCTGAGCCTCACTTTTCCCTCATAAAAACTCTTTACAGCATTAGTAATTTACCCCATTCCATATATTTGCAACATCTGCCACTTGCCCCCCTATCCACCTACAATCCCTTTTTCTAAATCCAAAATGCAATAAAAACTTTCTACCTTTTATCTAAATACTGTTCACAAATTTTGCTTCAATGTAAACATTATCAAACATCCCTACCCACCTGAAACCTCCCTTTCCATCCGCAATCCTACATTCTTCTTACCTCTAATTCTTTCAATTATAACCCTGCGTACACTTTTCCCGGATAACCAATAAACTAATTTCCTCTATAATTTTTACAAAACCTTTTTTCCCCTTTTCCCCTTTTTTTTTTAAAGGGGGCTATAATGCTCTCTGCCAATCCCTAGGTACCTTCCCCTCTTTCATAATTATAAACAAAAGTACCAACCACCCCAAAACTATATCCCCCCCCTGCTTTTTTCATTTTTGTCATGATCCCATTTTTTCCAGCGCTTTTTACCCCCTTTTATTCTACGTAATGCCTCACTACCTCCCCCCCACTTAATTCGCTCTTCTTTACTCTAAAAGATGGTAACCTCCCTGACCAGGCATAATTTAAATAAACAAAAACTAAAAAGCAGGCAAAATATGAGCTAAAATCGGGGAGACCCCTAACGCAAAGAGAGCGTAATTTCCCTAATTTTTCCATTAAATTTATACTCATGGTTCATTACCATTGGGGAAAAAATTCTTTTCAATTTTATAAGTTTTTTTTTTTTTTTTTTTTGAAAATTTTTCGACACGAGAGCAAGTTTGTGGGGAGGGGTCTTTGACAGTGAAAGGGTTAATAAGCAATATTAAAAAAAAAAAGAAATAGAGAATACATCCCGTTCTTTAATGCAATACCCCACTTTAAGTATTTCGCCTTTTAGCATTTTGCTATATGGACATTTCAATTTCAGTGGTCCCCCTTTTTCCCAGTTAATCCTTTCCGGAGTTTCAAATATTTTCGAAAACTATGATTTTTAATCAATTTTCCCCCCTAAAAATAATGTAAAGCAATTTAAAACTGTTCTCACCCAGAAGTATTAAACAAAAAATTTTTTTACATGAAAAATAGATTAGTACAAAACAAACAGGGCACAGAGAAAAACATTAACAGCAAAAACACTTTACCCTTTTTTGGCGATTCTTCTAGTGTATGGGAGACGGGGGAGGAGAGAATTGGGTTGTTTACAGTTTTGGAAGGGAAATCCCCTTCCATCAAACCTCAGGTACCAAATTTCTTTTCTGGGGTTTCTTCTCTTTGTTTCTTAATGCCCCAGGACCACCTTGAAGCCCTGGATCCTTCTCGAAAAATACTGTGGGGAGAGCTCTGTTTTGGTGCTCTTTAACATTCCCTAAAAGGCCCAAGACTTTGACTTACAGTTCCACATGGCTGCAACACCCTTGTCGGGTGATGTTTCTCCATAAAACTTTTCATCTTACCCCACATAGCAAAAATCTCTTTAATTTCTGAAGAAGGCACCTTCTTCCATCTCTCTTCCTCCTCCTCTGCAGCAAGATTCTGAGCTGCGATCTGTTGCTGTTCCTGCTGAAGCTCTTGCAGCTCCTCAGTGGTGAGCTCTTCGTTGTGGTCGTCCACCAACTCTTCCACATCCTCCAAACTCACATCCAACCCCATGGAACTCCCAAGTGCCACAATTGATTTAACAACAGACATAGGCTCATCAGGGTCAGTCCCAAACCCTTCAAAATCCCTCTTGCCGACACAATCTGGCCACAATTTTCTCCAAGCTTGGCACTAGGAGCTTTCCTTGGAGCCATGGTAGCTTATTTAGTACTTGCAAGCACTAAAATGAGTGGAATATTATGAAATATTTCGTAGGAACACGTGAGGGGACCTTCGCTCACTGGTAAACAATGCCAGACTGGCTGGGTAGGGAGGCCGCCCCGGCTCACACCGTGCATACGCGTCCCGCACAAACTACTATTCACAAGTCAACCTACTAGTTCTCCCTCTCGTGGGATGGCCCTCCTGGGCCATGGGCACAACACACAAGCCTGTGTACCCACCACGACTTTGCAAATAAAGTAAGA